AATGGGGAGGCTGGCACCTTCCTAAAGGGTAGCAGCTGGTCTGGACTCCACTGGCAGACAAAAATAGCGTAGTGAAGTGACGTCTAGTGTTGGTGTATGTGTGTCCATGCATCATCATGTGTGCTTGAATGTCAGTATGGAAAAGATTAGATCAGTGGAGGGAGGGGCAGAAGTGTTTAGGTATTGTGATAGCAACACTGTGTGTGCTTTCAAATAATTACAATGATCTAATCTGCACATGTGCTCATTTGGCGCCAATTATTTTTCACAGTATTGTATGCCACTGTGCATCTGTGTACGTACAGTACAGTATGTGTGTGTGTGTGTGTGTGTGTGTGTGTGTGTGTGTGTGTTAGTAAGTGTGATTTCTGCCACTAACCTAGTTCCAAAAGGGCATACAGAAACGAAATACTGCAATACTCTCACACCCCTTTGTTATTCTTTTGCTGTATTCCTGTCCTGCACTCTTAGTCTCTGCCCCCAACCCCCCCACCCCCAACCATGTTGTTGTTTCCCTCCCCCTAATATGCCCTGCCTCCTTCTCTCCCTTTTATTCCCCACCACTCACTCCTTTCAATCATGTCTGTGCCCACAGGACAATTTCTTTCTTTCTCTCTCCTTTTTTTTACTCTCCCTCTCTTTCATTTTAACTCACCATATATTTTCCTCCTCCCTAACATGCTGGCTCTCGCTGTCTGTGTCCTCATGCTGACGCAGCATCTCTCTTTCCTTGTCTCTCCCTCTCATTCGATACTGAATGGAGATGGCATGATACAGATAGGGATGACTGATGCGCGTGCTCGGTAAGACAAAGGTGGACTGACGAGGGATAGGAAGACGGTGGGAGAAACTAAGCGAAAAGAAGGGAAAGCAAAAGGGAGAGGACAAGAAAACAATTTGGGAGATGACTGGAAGCGGGGATAGTTGTATGTGAGCACAGACTTGTGTGAGAGAGGAGGCTTAACAGAGTAAGCTGGAAGGAAATATAGGCAAGGGTTTTACTGAGGAAGAGAGGAGGCAGGAGAAAGCAAACACAAGGCCTCTGTGGAATACTGTGAGTCTCGAGCCACGCCTCATTTCTTTATGGGAAATGGGTGCAGTGATTTATTGAAATCATGTACGAACATATATGGTCATACAGTAGACGACACAAAAATAGAGTTTGTACAATTCTAACAAGCGTGAAAGTCAATATTTGGTATAATCACCTTTATATTGTATTGGCAGTGAGTTTGAGATATTTTCCCGGTGTAATTCCATTCATTTTGACAAAATCTGCAGCACTACTTGTTGGCATGCAGCTCCAAACCATGACAGAGCCTCCACCATGTAGTCGTAGTAGCTGTAGACACTGTTTTACCTCTTTATGGAAGTCCTCTCTAAATGTTAATGATTACTTGTAGCAAAACAATTGTCTCAATATGGCAATTTTTTTCACAAATTCTGTTAAAAACAATGTTTTTGAAGATATATAGATGTGTGTGTGTGTGTGTGTGTGTGTGTGTGTGTGTGTGTGTGTGTGTGTGTGTGTGTGTGTGTGTGTGTGCGTGTGTGTGTAATTTGGCCTCACTTGTGGCCTCACTTACCTTTACTTGGCGAGACATCTTTGTCTGCAACCTACTGCTGTCCCTATTACTGTGTACATACACATACACATGCTGAATGTCAGTAAATCACAGCCCAGTTTATCTATTGCTTTTATTGCAATCAATAAAATATGAAATTTCTCTCTCTCTCTCTCTCTCTCTCT